ATTTTTATTTATTATTATTTTTTTATTTATTTTTATTTATTTTTATTTATTTTTATTTATTTTTATTTATTTATTTCTATTTATTTCTATTTATTTTTAATTTTTTTTTTATTTTTACGATATTCCCCATTTTCCTTCCTCTTTAAAAAGTGAAAATCTAAAAACCTTGAAATACGTCATTATTTACCTTAATATTGTGACGATAGTCTAATTTATTTATAGTTTATTTATTTAAAACACACTATTTACAATTTATTTCAGACGTACTATTTAATTTATATAATACTTAGACACTAGCTAACAATTCTAATTTATTTCTTACCCTTAAACTGTTCATTACAATGTTCTATACTAAACTAAACTGTGCGCCGATGAGTCGGCTATTTATATTATGTCCAACTCTGCTACTAGAAGTTTCCAGACGGTCTCAAAATTCCATCTCTGACTCAACGGCACACTTCGTCCGTTCTGCCCGTTTCTCGAGCCTCAGCGGCATTCTCAGAACATTCCGTCGCCTCGAGCATGTGTTGGGGCCAGCTGAAGGTCGCGCATGCTTTAGACACAGGATAGGCTTTAGGAATTTCATGACAATATATAAAATCCAAATACTTTGAAACATGTATATTTATTTATGAAGAGTACCTACAATTCCAATTTTCCATTTTTCTCGTTTCCCTCATTTCCCCTCTTACCTGCATTTTCCCTCTTTCCTCTCTTAAAATATAAAAATCCAAAAACTTGAAATACACCATTATTTATTTGTGATGAGTAGCTATAATTCCAATTTTCAAGTTCCTACCTATAAAAAAATCGATGCTTCCATGCAAACTTTTAGCCCCCGTTTCCCCCCTTTAAAGTGTGAAAAACCAAAAACCCTGAAACACGTCATTATTTTTTTATGCCCAGTAGCAGTATTTCAAATTTGTATGTTTTACTACCACTATGCAAAAAATTATGTCCGATCCCTTGTTCAAAAACAAATCGATCCTACGGGAACCGTACATTTATTCGGGATAAAAAGTAGCCTATGTGCTATTACAAACTATAATCTGTATTTGTGCCAAATTTCTTTCAGATTCGTTCGGCCGTTCTTGCGTGATTGAGCAACAAACATCCATCCAAACTTTCGCATTTATATAATTAATATATGATAAACTTTTATCCCTGGTTCCCCCCCTTAAAATGTGAAAATCCAAAAACCCTGAAACACGTCTTTATGTATTTATGCTTAGTAGCTGTACTTTAAATTTTCATGTTTTTAACTTTAAAGAACAAAGAGTTTCATTAAAAGCTCCCTCCCCCATTTCCTCCCATTGCCCACCTTTAAAGTTAAAATTTTCAAAAATCCTTTCTTAGCGGATGCTTACGTTATAAAATAAATATATGTTCCAAAATTCAGCTTTCTAGACTCAGTAGTTTTGGCTGTACGTTGATAGGTCAGTCAGTCAGTCAGTGAGAACAAACAATTATTTGTCCTGACTGACTGCTCGTAATGCTCGTATTTTGTAGATGTCAGTAGTACAGTAGAATTTTATAAAAAAAAATTATGGGAATGAAATCTTGATAATTTTCTTTCAATCTACCTAATTCTCAACGTTAATAGTTTTTTCAGATTTTTTATTTAAGTTTTTAAGCGGTTTATCAAGAAAGTGTTAAAGAAAAAGTAACGCACACGAACGTATTATACATTTTCGAAATCATGGTTCAGAGCTTTCATTTGATACCGCACACGATGGCATCAGATTTTTTTCCAACTTCCCATTTATCGCCTGCCCAACCCTTATATTTCTTTTGTGTCAGTTAATTGAAACTATAACTGAACGAGAGAGGTAACAAAATATGAATTTAGCTCAAGACTAAAGAGCCTTTATTTTTAAAAACAGAAAAATGTTATTTGAAAAGCTTGTTTAAAACCATTATTTGAAAATTACGGTTGGATTCAAACAAATTCATATTTTTTGAGTTATAGGTCTTGTACTAACTTTTTTGAGAAATGAACAATAAAAAAAATCTGATGTGTCCAACACATGACTTTCCTATCTAGTTATTATAGGCATTTTCCGGTTATTTTGTACAACCTATTGCAGCATCTCTATAAATGTTTAGAGGATAAACTAAATATATACATTTTACACATACATCTACCTCGAAACATTTTTTTATAGATATTTTTATAGATATTCATTGAAAACGAAAATACAGAAAAATTTAAATTTAGCACTTTTCCATTACGGTCCATTTTAGAAAAATCATGTATAAACAAAAATTATAGAAATCGATATCGCAAACAACTTTTAGTTCAACAATTTTCATAAAAATCAGAATTTTGCACATTTTGTCAAATTTCTCGAATACGGACCATTTCAGAAAATTTTGTTGACATAAAGCAAAAATTATAGATAAAAATATTAGAAGTAACTTTTATTTGAACAATTTTCTTCTCCAAACATAAATAACAGATATATTCCATAAAATATAAAAACGGCCTCCCATAAAGTACCCCCCCCCAGATGTTCCGACTTTGTCCAAAATCTAATCATTTCACGTCAGGCCGAAATAAACCTTAAGTTTAAAATTTAATGTTTTTTCCTTTATCCGTTTTTGAGTTTTCTTCAAATTTCGAAATTTACACATTTTCTCAAATATCTCGAATACGGTCCATTTTAGAGAAATTATGTATAGGACAAAAATTATAGAGAATTATATTACAAACAACTTTTATTTGAACAATTTTTAAAAAAATTTTTTTTTTTTACATTTTGTCAAATTTCTCGAATACGGACCATTTTAAGAAAATTTTGCATAAAACAAAAATTATAGATAATTATATTAGAAGTAACTTTTATTTGAAGAATTTTCTTCTCCAAACGTAAATAACAGATATATTCCATAAAATATAAAAATGACCACCTATAAAGTACCCCCCCAGATGTTCCGACTCTGCCCAAAATCTAATCAGCTCATTGGACGCTGAAACAAAGCTTAAGTTTAAAATTTGGTGTTTTTCTGTGTATCGGTTCATGAGTTATGCGTTAGACACACACACACACACACACACACACACACACACACACACACACACACACACACACACACACACACACACACACACACACACACACACACACAGACACACACACACAGACACACACACACACACAGACACACACACACACACAGACACACACACACACACAGACACACACACACACACACACACACACACACAGACACACACACAGACACACACACAGACACACACACAGACACACACACACACACACACAGACACACACACACACACACACACACAGACACACACACACACACACACACACACACACACAGACACACACACACACACAGACACACACACACACACAGACACACACACACACACACAGACACACACACACACACACACACAGACACACACACACACACACACACACACACACACACACACAGACACACACACACACACACACACACAGACACACACACAGACACACACACACACACACACAGACACACACACACACACACACAGACACACACACACACACACACACACACAGACACACACACACACACACACACACACACAGACACACACACACACACACACACAGACACACACACACACACACACACACACACAGACACACACACACACACACACACACACACACACACAGACACACACACACACACACAGACACACACACACACAGACACACACACACACACACAGACACACACACACACACACACACACACACACACACACACACACACACACACACACACACACAGACACACACACACACACACACACACACACACACACACACACACACACACACACACACACACACACACACACACACACACACACACACACAGACATCATCGCGAAAATAGTCAAAACGGATTCAGGGGACCTCAAAACGTAAAAATCCGTCGAAAACTCGAGGTCGAAAAAAATCATGATTCCTATACTTTCCTTATATCTGTATACAGATAGGAAAGTAAAAATGTTCACTCACACTATTATCTATACAGACAGGAAAGTAAAAATTCCAATGCATTGTTATAGCTAACTATTTTTCACGTTTCTAAGTTCTAATTAGAATATGCTTCTAATTATTTTCGATCATGTTATCTAGTAATATGACATTTTTAAAACTTTTTCTGAATAAAAAAACCCATGTACCTAATATAAAATAAATATTGCTACCGTTAGTGGCGATTTTATTTTTAAGCAATGACAATCGATATTTCAAAAGTATTTGAAAATGTGCCTAAGTTAAGGGGGCGTCCATTAATTACGTGAGGTATTTTTGAGGATTTTTTGACTCCCCCTCCCCCCCTGGCGAGATTTGGTAAGATTTTCCTTAACTCCCTCCCCCCCCCTTCCCTAATCTCACGTGAGATTTTTCAAAATTCGTGTTTTGGGTGTAAATGTGTTGGATTATTAAAAAAAAACAAAAACACAATATGTTCCATTACTTTTATTTAAGACTAACAAAGACTAGTGTTTGAGAGTGTTGCAATTATTTAAAATCACATTAATAAAATTAAATGGTAAATACTTAAATGGAAATTAATAAAAAATAAATAAACATAATTATAAGATTTTTCCATATTTTATTCTAGAAATACTTTTACTATAATTTAACTTTACTTTCACGCAATTTTACACCGTTTTCTACTAGAAAAAAAATTACGTGAGATTTACGAAACCCCCCCCCCCCCTCCCCCCAAGTGAGATTTAGAAAGATTTAGTTTTATCCCCCCCCCCCCCCTTGAACACCTCACGTAATTAATGGACGCCCCCTAAGAGCTCTAAAAAAAGTTGAATTTCAAGATTTTAAATCTCCAAATATACTAAAAAGGTGTATCGCGAAGTAACCTTCGGACGTAATAAATATTCTAATTTGCTGAATAAAAAAAACTATTTAACTATTATAAAATAAAGATTATTGTTAGTGGTGATTTCTTATTCAAAGAATGATGAACAATATTTCTATAGTATTTAAAAATGTTTCTAAGCTAAGATATCTAAAACGTAGTTCCCTTTTTATTTTAAGTGTTAGACATAATCACTTAAACAGTAATAAGGCTATAAGTTATGTTGAAAACATTGTGGGTTGTTCAGTTCCAGTTTTTGATTTAAAGTGGTTACCAGAAGTAGATTTAGAATCACATTTCAGAAAGTTGATTGGTTCTCAACACCCCATAACAAATGCTATAAGGTAAAGTATTGAACTAAAAATATTTACTTGTAAATTCCAAATATCCACCTTGATTCAAAGTGGTACTAAATAAATTCAACAATAAATGAAAATACTCGTCAACTCTGTCAACCACTGTTTAATTCTAATATTTTCTTAAGTAGCTTTCGACCCTAGGGTCATCTGATCATCAGGCTTAAATTAAACTATAAAAGTAGAAGAATCTACAAAGTGAAATGTCTTACCTACCACAAATATTTAGTAAACAAAATCAAATTTACCGAATCTTGAAAATTATTTTTTTATCTCTGCTGTTTTTCTTTTGTTTTCAGGAGGGAAACGGTTTCTCGGCGTTTCTGTTTTTGAGATTTTCTTCATAAATATTTAAACAAAATTTTTTAAATTCCTTTTAAACGGTTGGCAGAATTACAACTAATTTAACATTAATAAAAGCTGAATTTAATTAAGGATGTCAGACAATTTAAAATTTATGGGACTTTCATCGAATGATGGTTTCTCAAAGAATTAAAAATAATGCCCGATCAGGAATAAAATTTCCTAAAGGCATATTAAAAACGGTTCTTTCTTTTAATCCCAAGCAGATGGAATTTTTTTAGGAATTGTCATAAGAATTTTATTAATTGTCAGATTTGGAAATTGTCAGAGGGTTTTATTTTACTTTTTTGAGATTTGGTTTATGTCCGATATTTAGCTGGTTGTTAATAGAAATCGAGAATTTTTAGATTTATTTACGATAGAGATGAAATAAACGAAGAATAAATAAAAGGTATAGAAAATTTTATTCAATATGTACAAAAAAAAAAGATAAAAGAGATAGCAGGAAGGAGATATAAGCAGAAAGAGGAGTAAGACTATTAAGAGTTAGAGGAGAAAACGCAGAATACCGTAAGAGAAGACCAGACAGGAGAAAAAGGTTATACAGTAGACAGAAGTCACAGAATTTTTGTTTTGTTTTAAATTTAAAACTTTTATTTTGGTATTGATTTTTATTAAATTATTGTACGAAGCCTTTGGACCTACAACCCTTAGTGCTCAGAGAATATTGCAATAGTTCTACCTTATAGAGGGTGGAACCGTTACAATATATTTAATTGAGCCCCTTATAAAAAAACCTAGAGACACCTATAATAAAAATTACAGTATTACTAGTATTTATAAAATGATTGAAATTATGTGACCAGTGTATATCAAAGATGTTTGTAATATCTAAGACAGTAAAATTGTCAATACATACAAGCCATACCTAAGTGAAACTAAGTAAACTTATTTTTTACGTATCTTCGTTGAAAATCACTCCTATATTAAATTATGTTTCACCCCCACCCTTACTGTACTTCTTTTACGTTTTTTCTATAGTCGCAGCTTTATTTTGCATTTTTGATATCAAATTGTTTGATATATCTAGATTGTTTTTATTTATTTTTGTTTTACATGGAGTCCCTTTAAAAAAATAAAATTTTAAAATTGGAAATATTTTGTTGCAGAGAAATAAGTTTAGACGAGTCGTTATCATGGAGCCTTATAACATTATTAGTATCAAAAGCAGCAGTATTAAGTGAAAATTCCTCAAAACATGGAAATGATTTAAATCCAGGTATAAATTTTATTTAAATATACAAGATTGGTCTCGTAGTCCAGTAAATGAAGGACTGAAAAGATCGAAAGCTGTAAAAAAATCGCTGATGAGTTCCCACATAGCTCAATTTGTAGGTCATCGCAGGTGTTTTTAAATGAGAAAATCCTTAACGTGTTCTTGGTACCAGAAGGGGCTGAAAATGGACCCCTAAACTCTGAAAAACGGGTTTCCCGCTAATATCTGGAAAAATATGCCAATTAGAGAATTTTTGTTCAGACAAAAAATGAAGATCAGCACATTCTCTACAAAACTGATCCCTACCAATTTTATCGCAATGCCAATATTTTTTGCATAATCAGACTTCGAAAAATCCATAATTTTCATATTGAATAGATATGGTAGTTTCTTGCCGAACTTTGAATCATCGAAAAATATCAATTTTTTCCCGAGATATGGAACAATTCGTCCGCCCGCTTACACGTTAATTCATAGAAAGCGGAATTCCTGCAGGTAGAGCAGCAGCTGAAATGAGGGGACTTTTGAGTGCCATTATCTCGAAAACTATTGAATTTTCGAAGAAAATTATAAGGGCCATTTTTGTAGATCTTAATTTTTTGTCTGAACAAAAATTCTATAAGTGGCATATTCAGTCGGATATTAGCGGGAAACCCATTTTCCAGGTTTTAGGGGTCCATTTTCAGCCCCTTCCGGTACCAAGAACGCGTTAAGGATTTTCTCGTTTAAAAACACCTGCGATGACCTACAAATTGCGCTATGTGGGAATTCATCAGCGAATTTTCTACAGGTTTGATCCATTCAGTTACTGGACTATCGGTAGCCGGATGTTTTGAAAATGTTCATAATTACACAAAGTTAGCTAGGGAATTCCCGTTTATGCGGATCGAGTAAAAAGCAAAATAACCGTTATTATAGTTCAGAATTTTCACAGAAACTTTACCAACGTAACAAGTGTTATGAACAATCATTTTAACAATATATCTAATATGTGACACCTTCAGTGCGACCTTATTTTTTTAGTGTGGGAATGGAAATTCTGAGAAAAACATTACAGGTCAAAATTTTTTGTAATCGAATATTGACCTGACATTCAACTTTGTTTGCTAGAAAGCTTAGGCCTGAATAACAAAATTTCTAATAAAGCTACTCTACTTATTTCAGGTTTGGCATTGAGTTTCCCCATGTTATAAAACCAAGTGGGTTTTTCAATCGATAAAACCCACTATTATTGGGTTTTTGGTTTTTTTCAAAAATAGCAAATTTTTAGTTGAATGAAAGTCATATACATATATTTATTTCTGAATAAAAACAAGCAGTAGGTAAATACAAAACGAAAGAAACTGAAACTAAACTAACAAAACACTTATTTTTAATATGGTATAGGGATAGAGGGATAGAAAAATAAACAAGTTTTTTGTTAAACAAAGCATATTAGTTATCAGGAAAATCAGAATCTGTATTTTCGATTTTCGTCACATTCCCATTCCTTAGACTTGGTTCTTAAATGATTATATATTTTTACCAAGTTTGCAGCTTTATTGGCACCCAATCTGTTATGAAGCTTAGTCCATATTAATCCATATGAAGAAAAAATCCGCTCAATAGATGCAGATGAAGCTGCACATGAGAACAAAGATAACATATAAGTATAAAATTCATCTGGTATTTTATTTTTTATTGATATTAGCTACCACCATTTCTTTGTTAAGAATTTTTTGACAAGTTCTCAAAAAGATTCGGTGCAACCCATTGTTCGACTGTTTCCTCTTCCTCCCTTGTATGCTTACAAAATAAAGTAAGCATATTTTATTTTATTATTTTTGCAATAAAAGTCATAATTTGTGTAAAACTTTTGAAAGATCAGAAAGTATATATCAAATCTATAGAGAAAAAAAAACCGAAAAAACCCATAAAATAAAACAAAACAAAAACCGTTGGGTTGAGCTTTTTTGAAAAAACCCGGGTTTTTTCCAACCCTGAATTATTTTCGATCAAGTTATCTAGTAGGTATTTTAATTTAACATATTAAAAAATGAAAAAGTGAGTGAACAGAAAATATTTTACTTGATGTACATTACTTTTTAAAAAAATCTAATATTTTATTCTTATTTAGTGGTGTTTATATTTTTATTTTTGAACTTTGTTCTGGTGTTTTTATAATATCGGTAGTGTGATTTTTTGAAAGACAAGCTACAAAACAGCAAGGAAAAATCATGTAATGATTTCCATAAAATTTCAAATGAATTACTTTTTATTTGAATTATAAAGAGAAATATTATTGTGTGAACGGTTTATTTTAAACAATTTGGATTATGGTATGGCCTAAGAGCTGAATTCGGATCACACTTTGTTTATATCCCAAAATATTTTAAAATGTTGGCAAGCCTGTAGCTAGCCGTGTTGCCTGCCAAAAGTTCCAAATAATTTTTAATTTTTACAGACAGAAATTGTTAGAAGTAATAAAGGGACCGAGCCTAAACTGAAATTAAAGGCTGTAACGGTTGGAACCGTTTTCGTTATTTGACCCAGACATAGTAACGGTTGTAACAGTTTTCGTTATTTTGAAATCACCATCTCTACACTCGGGTTGTCATTTCGATTTACCTCTGTCATCGAACAAGTTGAATTATTGAATTTTAATTATCTTTTATCTAGTACATCCGATGTACTAATTGTCTTTAATATTTTCAATGACCGTCTGATTTTATAAAGGTAAGTTTCCTACCGATATTTTGTTGAAAATATATATTTTGTACAAGAAATTCTAATTAAAATGTCAAATCTGAAACATAACCTCAACATTGAATAGCACATGATAAAATATTTTATATAATTTTATCTATTATTTTGCTAGGAAAGAGATACTATGCTTTACTATTTTTAAATGTGTTAAATAAGACTTTTTCTTTTCCTATTAAATTTGGTCTCTGCGAAGCTATTCAAATAATAGTATTAAATTGTGCATTTGATAGTAAAAAGCATTATCTGTTTCCTATATACTCTTTCTGACTCCTTTCTTTATATTTTTACCTTTTTCCTTGTAGCCTGGCTGTATATAGATGGTCCTATAGAAGTTGTATACAGTGAGCATCATAAGTCTTACCCCCCCCCCTAACTAACTCGTTACTGGGGTCTTGTTAGGAAAATCGCCGAGACAGGTCGATTTTTGATTTCTACAATGTACATTTTTATATGATTAGTTTACCCTTAATTTCATACCTTACGGAGGGTAGCAACCCTTTCGAAAAATTTAAATGACATGGGGTGGTGAGTGATAGCTCATTTGAAAGGAGGTTTTATTCTCTATTCAACCGTGCAAAAAATTTTAAAATTTGCTTTATTACGTGTTGATTTATTAATGTTTAAAAATAACAAAACCTCACAAAATAGGAAAGCAACTAGACTAACAGTGACCTTGTAATGGCAAAAAGTCTTACTTCACTTCTGAACAAAAACCGAAATCATGCAGGGGCGAATTTTAATTCTATGGATGAGTGCGCTACGTTAATTTCCGTTATTCTGAAACAACAATTAGTCGAGAATTAATGAAGCAAATTTCAATTTTTTTTACACGGTTGAATAGAGAATTAAACCCTCTTTCAAATGAGCTATTACTTTTCACCGCATGCCATTTAAATTTTTCTAAAGGGTTGCTCCCCTCCCAGTAAGGGATTAAATTAAGGGTAAACTATTCATACAAAAATGTACATCGTAGAAATCAAAAATCGACGTGTCTCGGCGATTTTCCTAACAAGACTCCAGTAACGAGTTAGATAGGGGGGACTTATGGTGCTCACTGTATAGATGGTTTCAGTAGAAGTTCAATAGAAACTATATAGATGGTTCGATAGAAACTATATAGATGGTTCAATATAAGCTGTATCTAGATTAATTTTAGAAGAACGTCTGTTTAGAATACATCAAGAAGTTTAGTTCAACCACCGAAAGAAGTTAACGAGATTTCACTTTACCTTTGAAAATGTAACTAGAAGGCCTCTACAGTCACTCTTTAAGTGTTACCTCTGATACCACAGATAAGTTTCTAATAAATCATTTAAATTTGAATAATTAAGTCTCTGTGAATTAGAATTTGTCGCTACCTTATTTAATTATAATATCATAAAGGTTAGTGATTTTCTATATTTTCATCATTAATCGCTTGTCAAGTTTAGAAAGTTTGCAGAATAATTACTCTAAAATCTTTCCATTAGTTTTTAATTTCAGTTTAAACTCAGTCCATTTATTTATTCTAACAATTTTTGGGTGTAGACAGTAAAAATTGTTTGCCAACGGCAAAAGTACGGCTCGCTCCAGGCTTGCCAAAATTTCAAACTATTTCGGAATATAAATAAAGTGTGATCCGAATTTAGCAAGGATGCCGTACACTACAAAATGTTTAAAATAAACCATTCACACAATAATATTTCTCTTTATAATTCAAATAAAAAGTAATTCACTTGAAATTAAAGAAGGCTAAAATGGAGTGGTGCACCATCGTGCATAAACCATAAATCTCCTCTTACTTGCAGAGGCACTTCTTCTAACAGACCTTTTAGTTCTTCGTGTAAAAACTGAGTATACGAATCACCATTCAGTCGAGAGGGTAAAAAGTATGGCCCAATAAGATGGTCATAAATAATCCCTATCCATACATTTAGTGAAATTGCTGAAAGCGACCTTCTCTTATTGCATGAGGATTCTCCTCAGCCAATTAATGTTGCCTCATCAGTAAATAAAAGTAGGGTCAAAAAATTGTAGATATGAGCTACTTTATGGAGTAACCACCTACTAAAATTTAGCCTTAGCTGAAAGTCGCGGGGCAGCAGAGTTTGTACTCGTTGTATGTGGTATGGGTAAAGCAGAGAAACTTTCTAAACTCTCCAAACAGTATTTGCACTTACTTGAAGCTGATGTGCAATCTTCCTGGTACTAGTTGAAGGATTTTCTTCTGTCTCCTGTAGTATAGCTTCTTCTAGCTCGGGCGTTGTTATTGTTCGTGGTCTACCAGGAACTACCCGATTATGCTCAAAACTACCGGTTTCACTCATAGTATCTTTCTAAATGTTTTAGCACATGGCGTTACCCTATTGGGATAACGTTGCTGATAAATTATTCTAGCTTCCGCTGAATTCCCATTTGCTAAGCCATAACTGAAGTGCATTTGAGCCATTTCAGCGTTAGTAAAGTTATTCATTTAAATGTCACATACAAATAAACAATTGGCGACTAGTAAAATGTTAAACAAGTACCTAGAAAAAATTGAAGATAACTTTTTTGTTGTACATTGTTCAAAGAGATTAAAAATAATAAAAAAGAATGAAAAAATTTACTGTCTTTGTTGCTTTTTCTTCTAAATCGACCATTAAAAACAGAACAGTGGCGTAACACGTTTTTCCTTCCATATTTTTCAGCGATTAGTTTGATTAAAATAACTTAAGTGGTTTTGTAAATATTTAAAAAATTGTATTTTTTTTTAAACTTTCACACCCTGTATTTCCGTAACGAAGCATTTTTGAGACATAGTGTATATGACAAAAATACCTTTATTTTAGCTTCAGAATACGCTCCTGAAGTTATGTACCGTACTTATCGAACACCCTATATATCAATCCTCCTGGGTCTCTCGTTTTTATTTGTTATCGTTTTTTGTTTCTCAGTTAGGATTTTTTTCAGTATTTCAACCCCCACTGTTTCCTCATTTGTATTCAGATTTTTTTCTTTTCAGTATCAATAGGCTTCATTCTCTAGTAGAGCTTGATTTTTACTAAAAATTTCATGTACACTAGTACACATATTATAAAAATAGTACATAAAAAACTCAATTTTTTTTCAAGTCGCCATCGCTTCAGTGGAAACCCTAGACCATTATTACCAAATAATATACAATAATATGCAAATAATAGACAGTAATACACGAATAGTACACAATAATACATAAATAGTACACATAGTAAAGATTACTTGTAAACTATAGTACTAACACTCGAAGAAAATAAAAGAAACCACATGCTCCAGTCGGACTGGAACTTGCGAGATATGAGATATCTAGCATACCGAGCCTTAACATTATCTAATGTTTTAGGAATATTCCAGAAACAAATGGTCTTAGCTACAATAACAGAAATGATACGCATTAGCAATATTTTCCACAAAAATATTATAAACATTCATAAAGACGATTACCAAAAGCATGTCTCGTTTGGAAACACACTGTCACTACTTATAGGAGACTACCTAGAAAGCGAAACTCTCATGCAACTAGCAAGTCTAAAATGCAACAAAGTCCTTGAACTAGTAATATCAACGTTTCGAGATGTTGCTGAAGCTGAATTTATCGAACCACAAGATGGGTAAGAAACGATATTTATAATATTTCTAACAATGGGGTCTGTTAACTTTGTAGTGTAAGGGCCGATCTTCTCACCTCGGCGTAAAATTACATGTAGGTTTACTTGAGAGATTAACAAACAATAGCCCTATATTTTAATCAGCAAGTAGTTACTTTCAACTTTATTTAGCGGTGAAAAAATTGGCCCTAAATATAATGTTAATTCGTCGGTCGAATCCGGTAACAGCTTTGCGTCCATAAAATCAAACGCTGAAGAATACAATGTTTTTTTCAATTATTCGCCAACAAGAATGAGAATACAATTATTTACATGTTTATACTACTTTTAAAATGCACGAGTTACTTGTAGGAAACTTGAACCTCATGCTAGTAGTTATGTTTGTAAAACGAAGTGAATTGATCGGAAGGTTGAAAATAGTGTTTCTTTAGCGAGTACGATATATATGCAGACTCACAGGCATTATGTCGTGTGTAGTAGCGAGAACGATATAGTTAAGGTTAAGGGTTCTGTTGTTTTAAAAATTTTTAAAACTGTTGTAATCGTCTCCTTGTGTTTTTTTTTTTTTAATTTCAACTCTTGACTGCACCCGAAGATGGATAAAAATAAATTGCCGAAACATATGTAGTGCTAAACGATTGAAAATAAAAAGAATGACCGATTAAACCAAGGAAATTTTTATTTATATAAAATTCTACTACGGTCGGGAAATTATCATTATTCAGATATAGTTAAGTTAATCCCGAGGCATGTTAACTGTTCTAAGTTTAAAATTGTAGTGATGCGGAACAACTTGTCGGTACTTTTGTTGTGGAGGCAGTGTACAACTCATGAGCATTACATCAACACGATAGAAAATATATTTTTTATAAATATTGAGTCGTAGTGAAAGAAATGCTACGATGCGAGAGATAGAGTATATGCTAGAATCTGGTTTGGATTCGTGGCGTACTGGCGTACGTGACCGTCGTCATGCATATACAAGATATATTTTGTTTGCACTATATTAGAGCGAAATGACATTATTATTCGTAGAATGAAGAAATGCATTGAATGTGTGAGTTTGGTCGCAATGGCTTGAACACAGAGGCAGTTTAGAAAATGTTATGTTTAAATTTAAGAATATGAAATTAAAAAAGGTATATTCTGTAACAGGTCCTTTATGTTTTAACAGCCGTTAAATTATTGACGGCCTTTAATAGTAGTTTGTGCAACAAGAGTGGATATGATGAATAATATTATGCCAAGCCCTAATTTTTAAAAAAATATAAACTAACCAAATTGTAAATAGTTTGGACATAGTTTTTGATTGAACGATTTAACAGGCGGTTAAAAATTAACCTTCCAAAGGGGTTACTACAGAATAGACACCAGCAGCTTTTACGACATCATAGGATATTAGAGATGACTCGATAGAATCAGTGCTAGCTCTTGCAAGGGGCATTGGTTTACTTTAGCTCCAAGTAAAAACGTTTATGCATAATTTTTTTTAAAATATTTGTTTTTATATTTATTTTAAAGACAAAGCAGGCCGTTACCAGCTTCACCTCTGTCAACCAAAGAAAAAAATTCAATGCCCAATCATTTGGACCAGGATATATTCGTAATAGAAGAAATATTAGGAAACGCTAAGGCAGAATGGATTATGCGCCATGTATTAGGTGGAGCGAGTTTATTAGCAAAAAGCTGTCAAGTGAGTAGGATTCTAAATTATATGAAATAAATTTCGTAAATATGTTAGAAAATGTACCGTTATCAATCAACAGCCTATAAAAAATTAAACAAAAATTAAGTTTATTTTAAATGGTCCCTGAAATTTTTGTGATAATCAAATTTAAAATAAAAATTTTAAATTGCACTACTGCCTTGTACTGTGATTTTCCCCCTTTTCGCTTCTATTAACTACGCCACTGGAATAATTACAAATATATTTTTAGGTTATTAAACGTTACATAAAAATTGTATAACCTTCTACCAGTAAACTTGGTCATCTTAGAGATATTCCCGATATAAAATAGTTCTGAAAAGATATGTGTACATGTACCTGTTGCTTTATAATCAAATAACTTTTTTCTACACCCGTATTATAATAATGCACTTATATGCCCATAATCCGTTTCATAATGATACCCATTATGATACAGATTTTTCATTACGATACAGATTTTTAATCAATAGAAACCTACAATTTTTCAATCAAGCATGCTGTTTGACGTTTGTCCTAGGTTCCTATGTAATTATTTTAGTTGTCAAAACGTATTAAATTTTCGTAGGTAGCTAAACTTCGATAATTATAATATTAAAATGTCTGATATTAGCGATATAGAAGACTCTTCCACACATATCGGAGAAAGCAGAAAATACAGTACAAAATATTTTACCGCAAAATCTAGGGAAATACCAATACCTGAAGTAATACCATTAATTACAATTTTGTAGAATTTTTTATAGAAATACGAGTAATTACTGTTATTGTGTTCAATACCAATATAAATATAATATTTATAGGTCTTGATTATTTATCGGGTGTAGAAAAAATAGCGTATGCAACTCTCATGTAATGGTTATTAAAACACTCGCATAAACCATACGAAACTCGCCTTTGGCTCGTTTCGTATCCCGGTTAATGCTCGTGTATTAATAACCATCATTACATGATCGTTGCATAATATACTATTTTATTATTTTGGAATTGACTTTTTCAAAATTACTTAATTATATTTTTTAATGCTATAGTTAACACATGGTCGCTGATATGTATAGGATCGGTCGATTATCTTCTAAAGTAAGATAGCTAGCGAAAAATGTTAAATACAAAACTTTTCAGGTTACGTATACAGGGTCAGTCAAAAAGTAATGACGAAACAGTCGCTTTTTCTAATGGAACACCGTGTACATTATTTCACATATTTCCAACACATAAATAACCTCCAACTTTTTTTCTGTATATATGTCTAAAACCAATCATTTGTAGCAGAGTTCTGAAATATACAGGGTGTCCCGAAATTAGACGGTCATATTTTAACAGCATAATCTACATCCTAAAATAGAAATAAAAGTTCATATAAACATAGGTCCGAAAACGTTTCGTTTTCGAGACACAGGGTGTTAAAAGTGAAGTCCTGATGACACTCTTTTGTAAATATTTTCTAAACGTTTAAAGATAACTAAGTGAAATTTGGTACAAATGCTTACCTTTTTACGCTCTATTTAATGGACTAAACCCCAGTTTTTGATCTTCTTCATAGGTGGGTAAATTAGGGGGGCTTAGGGTAAAATTGCTCTAAGTTTTTTTTTGTTGACAGTTTTTAACATTTTTAACTAAAAAATTTGGAAAATCAATGTTTTCTTTATAATAAAGCTACATTTGTTGCATCTCGCTGGGACGCACAATTTTCAAGAAAAAAGCATTTGAATATTTCATGATAAGTCGATGTTATCTTATTCGAAAATGTAAACAATAATTAGTAGACCTGTGAAATCAGAAATTTTTTTTTTGTTTTTACTTTGGAAAACCGATGACTAAAGTAATTTTAGAAAATATTTACAAAAATGTGCCATCATGACTTCACTTGTAACACCCTGTATCTCGAAAACGAAACGTTTTCGGACCTATGTTTATATGAACTTTTATTCCTATTTTAGGATGTAGATTACGCTGTTATAGTCTTTCTAGAAACAATCCAACACGGCAGAATAACCGATTAGTACCGACTTCAAAGGGACCGCGCACATGGGCGTACCAATTTTATTATTAAAATTAAGTAAATTAAATTAATAATTATGTATAGTTCTTTCATTAAACTCGTTCCGTACTCTTACCGACAATTTTGTTTCATTTTAAAAATTTAATATTTTTATAAATACGAGAAAGTATTCGTTAAAAGGCGATCGAATGATTATAAATTGGACGGCGTTATACCCGTTATTTAGATAGATGCACTTAATTGTAGTCCTACTTGAACTTAAAAAAAATCATTATTATAGCTCGTTAATTTGCTACAAGTGAATATTAATTTATAAAACGTTTTTTCGTTTTTTTTTTTTTTCGGAAAACGAAATTTCAAAGCAAAAACCATAAAGGAAAATAAATTCTTTGCAAATAAAACAAAACTATAAAATAATTTAGAAAAATGAATTTTTTAAAAGAAATAAATGAATTAATTTGATGACTCTCGGATTACCAATAATGAAAAATAAGAAAGTTAATTCGAATCTAAATCTGAACCATCTGTCGAGAATCGAGGTTTGGATATATAACTACTGGAGCTATAGAAGGTAAAATATGATATTCTTTTTCCTTTTTAGGACGTGACTAATGCAAATTTCCCAAACGTCAGTCAAAGACGTATCTTTAAAAACGCCATTAATATTTTCCAAATCACATTTGTTAAGGTAGGTGCAAAATTATTACTTCTCAGTTTTTGTTTAACTGAAGACCAAACTAATTCAATTGGATTAAGTACACAATATGAAGGTGGTAACCTCAATACAGTATGATCATTATCTTCTGCAAAATTATCAATATAATACTGAATTGGAATATTCTTACTTTAACAAATTGTAACAATAGTGGTTTTGTTTTTACGAAAGCAGGACTATCAATGTTATTATCTTTTGAATACTTTGATATATCTGATTTCTTAGAGTCACTACTTCTACTTGGCTTCTTGTGAATTTGTCGGGAATGATATGGCGTATTGTCCATTACAATGACTGAATTAGTTGGAATATTCGGTAAAACTTGTTCAGCAAACCAGTTCTTAAAAACTGCTGCATTCATATCTTCATGATAAACCATCAGAGCTTTATTGACATATTTTGCTGAAAGTAGCGAAGCGTTTGCTACAAAGCCATTTTCATTTCCGGCATGTAAAATTATGACTAGCATCTACATCTACCTCAAAAGGTCTCCAGAAAGCATCTCGTATAACACAAATCAAAATTTAACAGAAACACCGTAAAATAAAAACAAGTTTATAACAAACGCTTTGGGAAAAATTTTCAAACCGTGCACGTTACTGATCAAAGATATAACAACTAAAGCAGCCAGGTGAGCCTGCAATTCTGGCCGCTCACTTGTGGACTTAACATGTAGGTACGTAGATGTTTAAAACTTAAGTGTGCCACATCAGAAGCTATACCAAGACGGTTCACGCTTATTTGCAATGTGAGGGTATAGAATTTGTAGCATTCGCATGGCATGTAACGCGAATTATTACATGCCAAAGAAGGCAGCAAAGCACCTCGGGAATTTTGAGTTGAAACATTTTTAGGCTATTTTTGTACCCTATTCAAAAATTTTATGCTCCTCGTTTTTTGCAAAAATCAAGGTGCTCTGCTAGCTTCGAACGAAGTCGCAGAGCACCTCAGTTTTTTAAAGCTTTTTCCAAAATCAACGACACCATATTTTTAGGCTCTTAAAATATTATAAAACTTTTCGAAAAAATTTGTTATTTTTCGAAGGAATCTAGCAGAGCACCTCGGTTTTTTAAAGCTTTTTTCTAAAAACAACTACACCACATTTTTAGGCCATTTTTAGGCTCTTGAAATATTATAAAACTTTACTAAAAACAAATTAAATAATACAGGGTGATTTCTTGGAGCAAAGTCAGCAGAGCACCTCGGTTTATTATTTTTTTCAGAAAACTAGTTATGCTATATTTTTAAGCTATTTTTAGGCTCTTAAAACAATATATAACTTTTCAAAAAAAAAAAAAATTATTTTTTAAATAATACAGAGTGCTTTGCTAGCTTCGAACGAATCCAGCAGAGCCCCTCGGTTTTTTAAGCTTTTTCTAAAAACAACTACACCACATTTTTAGGCTCTTGAAATATAAAACTTTACTATGTTATGTTATGTTGATAATGGGGTGTTAATACACTGCGACCAAAAAGATCTATTGTGTCCCCTTCTGTCGCCACTGCACTAAGGAAATGTCTCAATGCCTATAGCGACCCTTCCAATCCTATTTTCTCAAGGAAGTGTAGGATTTGAAGTGGCTTCAAGTTAGAAAACTTTACTAAAAAATTGTTATTTTTAAATAATACAGGGTGCTTTGTTGGAGCAAAGTCAGCAGAGCACCTCGGTTTATTATTTAGTTTTCAGAAAACTAGTTATACAACATTTTTAAGCTATTTTTAGGCTCTTAAAAAATATATAACTTTTCAAAAAAAAAAAAAAAATGTATTATTTAAAGAATACAGAGGGTGCTTTGCTAGCTTCGAACGAATCCAGCAGAGCACCTCGGTTTTTTAAAGCTTTTTTCTAAAAACAACTACACCACATTTTTAGGCTCCTAAAATATTATAAAATTTTACCAAAAAATTGCCATTTTAAAATAATACAAGGTGCTTTATTGGAGCAAAGGGTGCTTTGCTAGCTTCGAACGAATCCAGCAGAGCACCCTGATTTTTATAACAACTTATTTAACAATAGAATTATATCAAATAGGTCATTGTTTTAAGGTTACTACTGAAGTTATTAATGTTACATTTAGTCAATTTAGTCACGTGAGATATGAATATTATTGAAGACTCTGGTAGGTATTATGATTTGACTGATATTTAGATTTGATTTGAACATTTACTTTGTAATTTTAATATAATCAACAGGTAATGAATTTTTAATACTAATAATAATTGAAATTTACACCAATTTTGAATCAATCAATCCCAACTAAAACAACTTATTTGTATATTGTTCATCATTGATTTCGATTATTTTTTTCCGCATTGATATAATTAATCGTAGAAATTAAAATGTTTGTTAATTAAGGGTTTTTTGCAATGAGCCTATCCTAATCTTAATAGTGACATTTTTGTAATCGCAGCGAGTGTCCAAATGATCTATCTACTTTCAGTTACATAAAGTTGAACATTATGTAACTGGTTATGTCATAAATATGTTCATGATTGCGAAAAGAAAATATATAAAAGAAACCTTCTTTCTGAATAATTTATATTATTTCAAGAGCCTAAAAATAGCCTAAAAATGTGGTGTAGTTGTTTTTAGAAAAAAAGCTTTAAAAAACCGAGGTGCTCTGCTGGATTCGTTCGAAGCTAGCAAATATACATTGTTTTTAAAAAGTTATATATTGTTTTAGGAGCCTAAAAATAGCGTAAAAACATAGCATAACTAGTTTTCTGAAAAAAATAATAAACCGAGGTGCTCTGCTGATTTTGCTCCAACAAAGCACCCTCTATTTTTTTATAACATTTTAAGAGCCTAAAAATAGCTTAAAAATATGATGTCGTTGGTTTTGGAAAAAAGCTTTAAGAAACTGAGGTGCTCTGCTGACTTCGTTCGAAGCTAGCAGAGCACCTTGATTTTTGCAAAAAACGAGGAACATAACATTTTTGAATAGGGTATGAAAATAGCTTTAAAATAGCCTCAAAATATGGTGTCGTTGGTTTTGGAAAAAAGCTTTAAAAAACTGAGGTGCTCTGCTGACTTCGTTCGAAGCTAGCAGAGCACCTTGATTTTTGTAAAAAACGAGGAGCATAAAATTTTTGAATAGGGTATAAAAATAGCCTTAAAATAGCCTAAAAATGTGGCATATGTTTCAACTCAAAATTCCCGAGGTGCTTTACGCAATCCCGGTACAACACCTATATTGGATTGAGTCTGGAAACACTATAAAATATTACCGTCTAATTTCGGGACACCCTGTATATTGTCATTAATAGTAATAATTAGAACTCAAGTCCCTTATTTAAAATTGAAATGGATATTTTCCAACTGTTACAGTTACGAAGGTTATTTTGCTCGCACTCTGTATATAAGGTTAACCAGCAAATTTTTTAAACAAAAAAATATTTTAAAATAAAATTATTAATGTGTTGATCAAATTTACTGGTTCCTAATAAATTCATTTAATTGAAGCTTCCTAGATATTTTGTATGTAAATACTTTTTTATTTTATGGCCTTCACAACCAATTTATTTTAGTTTTTTTTTTTTTTAATTATACTCTTAAACCCAATAATTTAAGAACGACGTTTTTCCTTTTTAAACCCGTTATGGTAATTGTTGCATATCCCAAAATAGATTCTTATACTTTCGCATTATGTATAGAAAGAAATAATCTATAAATAGGTAGATTATATTCATTAGAAGACTGATTGATATTTTTGATTCAAATAGCATAGCATAACATTTTCAAATTGCACATGCTTGTCAAGTTCTTCGAAACAACAGCTATTTATGAAACCAGTTGCGAAATACCTTATTTTATGTAACGAGTGAATATTTGCAGGACGAACAGAGCGAGGTCCCGCAACATGAACGTAACGTGTTACATACAATATTTTTTCTAATTCTGACTAATTATTTATAAAATTATGTTTTGGTAAATCTAGGCAATCAATATTACTACTTTTTTGTATTATTAGTTGTATATGCATCATTTTATTGACAAATAAAACATAATATCAATTATATATTCTTAAAGACTAATTTCAAAAAGTGGGTTATATTGTTATGTATTTTGTTTTAATTATTTTGTGCTGATTTAGAATGGTGACAATGAATTTTTCAAAACCAGTTTTATTACGTTCAACATTATGCAACTGAATGCGTAAAGAAGATCATTTAGACTTGCTGCGATTACAAAAAATGTCACTTTATATGTCAAAATTAGAAAAATGTATTTTTCTGTTCATTTCAGGCAGCTATGATGTTGGCAGACCACTCCGAGGAACTTGAACAGTCAGCTTACACCATTGGAAGAAGTATAGCTTTATCGCAGCAGCTCCAAAAAGACATTTCTAACTACAAATCTACCGAATTTGGACCTTTTAGTTTAATAAGTGCCCCAATGATGTTCTATATTCAAGATAACGTAGATTTTTATCAAACTCTAATGGAAAATGTCGAAAAAGACGATATTAACTACAACGAAATTAGAAATTTAGTTATAAATGGAAATGCAATTGAAAAATCTTTGGAGTTAAAAGATGAATTTGTTTTAAATGGAATGGAAGCCTTAAATCAATTCCCAGAAAATAAGGCAAAAAATGCTTTAATTAATATCTTACAGTCAATATAATATAAAATAGTTAAAATTATGATATTTGTGAGAAAAACCTTCAAAGAAAATAAAAAAATTATACTACTATAATATTTTTTCTACAAAACTTGTTAAAAGTGCATAAAAAAATTACAAATTATCATAAAAATATAATTTGACGTTCTCAAAAGTTTCAATTTGAAATTTATTGTAAAATTGACAATACTTCCATGGTGACAGTTTCCTTTTAATGAATCTGTAGAAAAACAATATTTTATATTCAATAATATTTTTATATACTCTGCTGTTTTATTATCTATTTGAAAATTGTACAAATTATCCCTACACTACGCTTATTCAACAATATCACTGCGCAAATATATAGATTTTATTGAGTATCGAAAGATCAATCAATCATGTTTTAGTCAAAAATTCCTGGGTATTCATTAAAATTTTGTATTTTTTTAACTATATATTACGAGTACGTAATGGGTTTACGTATAATATTTTTTTTACGATCATTATTTTTAATTATTAAATTAAATAAATTAGTGTATATTAGTATAATTAAAAAAAAAATCAGAGTTCCTCAAAATGAGACGTTTTCTGAAAGGGATTTAACATTATTATCTATAAATGTTTATGTACCTAATAAATTATGTGTGGCAGAGGATAGACTGATTTTTGTTTGGACCGGATGTTTCTTTATCTATGGCTATATTAATGATATTATTATTTTTTTTTTAAATATTTTGTATATCAATAGGAGCTACTGTTAGTACTCTTTGAATAGTAGCTAGAGCTAGAAGAGTGAACAGCATCTTGGGCTTTCAAAATAATCTCTGGTGGAGAATTCATAATTCGAAGATATTGATTAAATTGTTAACAAAATTTGAGAGAAAATTGTTTTTGGAAGAAAAAAATTGTTTTTCTTCATTCACATATTATATATACACACAGACTACAGAACGAATAAGTTCACAAATCGTGTTGAATTGGTTACTTTCTGCACTATTAGATTGTACGTCTCCAGATGCGTCCAAGAAAACGAAACAATAAAAAGTTGTTATAAAAAAGAAAAACAATCTGTAAAGGAAATTCATTTTTTCGAAAGCAAATAATCAGATTTACTTAACCAGAAATAGTACAAGTAAAAATTTGTACGAGTAAATCCGGATCTGATTTTCCGCTATATTTGTACACACCGGTTCACACCATAGACACCATATATCTCTGGTCCACACAAAAACTCGCTTACTTGTCCCAATTTTGTATATCAATTAATAACATCCTTAGGTTGGTATATCTCTTGTATATTTTTTAGTTATTGAAGTAAAATATAATTAAAAATGAGTGACTCTTGTAAAGAACCGATAAAAAATAGCAATCCACTACATATTCGTTTATATTTATCAATTCAAATTTTTGTGTCAATAAAATAAAGTTATTTTTTTAATTTTGTAAATTTTCTTTAGTGGCTCAAACTTCGTTTTCGTGTGATATAATCTTATCCATTCTTACTGTACAAACTAATATTACAGTCTAAACATTGTTATAAATGGTATACCATATGTATTTAGTGTTGCCTACCTCTTAGAACATCATATAGGTATGTTGTAAATTTTAATTAATAAAAATTGTTCAGTTTCGGTTTTTATTTGAAAAATCTTATATTCTCTTGTATGCCTCATAACGTGTGACAATAAATCAAGTGAATTTCAATTTTGTTGTCAAATGTCTACTACTATTTCCCCATTTATCCCATATCTGTGTGTATGGCAGGTAGAGTGAAATAGAAAAAAAAAGAAATATTGGGAAGACGCACTTTTCTTAAAAGCTTATATTTTAGGTTTTATTTAGTAAGGAGAGTACTTTTTAACTGTACCATCGGACACCCCATAAATTAGGATTTAAAATAAAATTATATAATAAAACCTTACATCAACCAAACGTGCTCACTTCAAGGGTTTTTAGAACGTGGGAGGACGAGCATGCTTTTATGATATAGGTGTAATAGTAATAGTAATTTTTATTTACCATAAAAAATACAATATTTAAAATACATAGGTATACATTAATTAATAATTTGTTTTGTTGGTAAATAAAAATAAAACCCCACAAAAGGAAAATCCTGAGCGTGGGTGAGAAATTTCATTTTTTATTCCATGCTTCAACAATAATAATTTTGTAAAATATTTAAAATAAAAAACATAAAATAGGTAACTATTTAGTTATTCTTGGGGATAAGCGCTGAGAGTTTCACGTAATTTCGCGAGTGAAAGAATGTCAGTAATCTTTCAGACTATAACAAAATATACTTGAATGAAGAAATTGTTTTAACTTTGTGAATGGTAAACTTAGAATCCATTCTGTAATTTTCTTTTTATATAAATTATATGAGTTTATTTTTTTAATATCATAGGGGAGTTCATTATATAATTTAGGGCTCAGATAAGTAAAGCATTTCTGGCCGATTGATTTTGCTGTTCTTGGTACAGTAATTGAATCGATTTTGTGTCTAGTATTGTATGGATGGATAACAGGTTCGGAGTATTTTTTATCTTTATATGGTCTTAACAATAGAATTTTGGCATACAATTGGTACACATTAAAAAATTGTGTATGCGTATAGAGCATTTCAGTCGGGTAAATTCTTGGTAATTTATACATGTTTTTTAGGATACATTTCTGGATTTTTTGTAAGTTTTCTATAAGTGTTATTCCTGCGGAGCCCCATACAATTATTCCATAGGATAAATGAGATTCCACGAGAGCATAATATAATATTTTAAGATATTTAATATTTAATAAATTCGAAAGATTTTTAAATTTGTACACAATTGATCGAAGTTTTTTTATTACATAATTTATTTGAAAATCCCATTTTAAATGAGAATCTATGTATATTCCTAGGTATTTGGTGTTATTGGTAGACCTAATTTTTATTTGTTGATTTCCTTTCTGAATTATTTGAAGGAGAACTTTTTATTTGAATGCGTTTTGGATAAAATATACGTTTTAAATGGGATGAAGCTGAAAGTATCTACCGATTGATGTCACGGCTAACCCAGCAGAAATTTAACTAATTATGCTATCCTCTTTAGTTGATAGTAGTCTTTAAATTTGACTGGCTGGCGTTATTTGTCAAACAAAAAAATTCCCTTGTTTCAAAAAAGGTTAAAAAAACTTTTGGATAACACAAAGTAAGTATTGTGTTTAAAAATTTTCGAAAAAGACATTGTTTAATACTTTATAGATGATGAAATATTAATATTTAATTATTATGTACCTACTACTATAATTTAATCAAAATGGATAAATAAATCGTCGGAAGTATTTAGTGTTTTTTAAAGAATTTGGAAATTTATGTCAAAAATAAGGTATTTTTGGTATTTCTTTTTCGTTGATTTTAATTAGACACTTAAAAACACCGCACATTTGTAATGACAGAGGATGACAGATATAATCCTAATGAATAAGTTTATGTAAATGATCCTCATAAGCCCTCAATATTAATATATGGGGTTTGTGGTTTGAAAAATACTCTCCCTCCTAAAGCCTAAAATGTAAGTTTCGTAAAAAAATTGTATTTTTAAGAAAAGGGCGTCTTCCTAATATTTACCAAAAATAATTAGTAAGTCTGCTCTTTATTTTAATTAACAATTCTGGAAGTGGCGTGGCGACGATTAAAATTTACTGATATATTTTTAAATATTATAAAACAAATAGCAAAGAAAGGATTAAAATATGAAACTTAAAGTACACTTTTAATATATAATAAAGCACTTAATGTTTAAATCAGGGGCGGTTTCTCCATTGGTTCATTTGTGCAGTGAACACTCAGTTACATTTCATAAAAACAAATTATTATAAAATAAATAACATAAAAATATAAATTCAATTTTAATAATTTTATTGTTTTCATGCGTGTTAATCTCTATTTTTTGGTACGCCACTGCGCTCTGGCTAATCGTGTTTCTTTGTCTCACTTTTCTGAATGAGTCCGAGGGAGTGAGATGCTTTTCCGAAAACTTCTAGCTAAAAAGAGATGTCAACACGTTAACAGATCCATGAAACAATGCCCTGTTTATAATCACTAATATCACCTTATTTTGCGCAACGCACACAGTGACGTCACAAAGTAGAGCGAAGCATACGAATCTTTCAAATCATAAATATAGAATAGAGATGTAATGACGGTACTAAAAGTGCCTGCACTTTTGCATTAACTTTTTCCGACATTATGTTAAACTCGAGCTAGTCAGTTTTGGTGATAGTAAAGGCTATTTTTTTAAATAGAGTGATTTATATAATATAAAAACATTTTCATTCCGTCAAATGTGTTACCAGAACATAGAAAAAATCCTAAATTAAAATCGAAAAGCGATATCAACATGAAATGTTTAGTAAAAATGAAGCTCTATAAGAAGAGATAAAGCCTATTGATTCTGAAAAAAAATCTGAATAAATTGGGAAGTTAAAATATTAAAAAAAAAATCCTAACTCAAAAACGAAAAATGATATCTACTTAAAATTTTTAGAAAAAATCAGGCTCTACAAGGGGATGAAACCTATTGATATTGAAAGAAATCTGATTGAAAATGGTGGTTAAGAGGGTCTGTTAAATTGTAAAGAGTATAATTTAGAATGCCACGCATTATATATCTTCATTCTAGTTTGTATCCGTCTAATATTATGCATTGTGATGTGACTGATCTTACTAAATAAACATTTTAGTTCACTTGTTTTTTGCCGATAAAAGGTAGTTAAAAAATATATTATTTTATTTGACATATGTGTTAAATTGTGAAAATGATTCAATTTATCATAAAAACTGAAAAATGGTAGGTAAAGTTTTAGATACATTTTTTTACACAAAATCAATGTCATGCTTTCTACATAACCTGATATATATTTAAAAATAATCTCAAAATATGAAGGAGAGTCAGTTGACTAACTAATAATGTTTATAGACGGTTTTCAACCTTTTAAAAACAAAATAAATATTACAATAACTAAAATATTCATTTATTCATTCATTAATAGTGTTTTAGTGCTTGAAAACAGTATGATATTGATAATAATTACATTTGTACAAACTTACAAATTATAAAATTATTGGAAAAACTACGACAAGCCGCCACTGCACTGGTTTAAATAACAAGTTATAGTAGGTACATATTTTGATATACATTTATAAAAACTAACCACCTATTAAAGTAAAAATGTTTGTCAATATAGCCATCCGTACCGTATAGTTGTTTTAAATTAAGATGAGTTGATAATTACGTTAATAGAATTAGGCCCGATTCTGATACAAAGTATCACAGGCTTTCCAATTAATACAATACTAGCTTTTCCCGCGGCTTTGCTCGCGTGGTGTGTTTATAATTTAATAAAATGAATGATTATTAATTTTTATTATTTTTTAATTAATTTTTGATTTTTATTAATTGTTATCAATTTTTTGTTAATTTTTACTGTTTATTAATTTTTGTTAATTGATTAAAATTAATAATTTTTCTAATTATTTTCAATAAATTCTATTATTTTTTTTTTAATTTATTATAACTAATTTTTATTTTTTTATTTATTTTTATTTATTTATTTCTATTTATTTTTATTTATTTTATTTTTATTTTTATTTTTTCTATTTATTTTTTCTATTTAGTTTTATTTATTTATATTTATTTTTTTATTTTTATTTATTTTTATTTATTTTTATTTATTTATTTATTTATTTTTATTTTCTTTTTGTTTTTTATTTTTACGATAGGAAGGAAAATGGGGACCCTTCATCCTTAAAATGTGAAAATCCGAAAACCTTGAAATACGTTATTATTTACTTATGATGAGTAGCAAAAATTCTAATTTTCAAATTTCTACCATTAAAAAACCGAAAGTCTTATTCAAACTTTCACCTTCCGTTTCCTCCCTTAAAATGTGAAAATCCAAAAACCTTGAAACACGTCATTATTTATTTATGCTTAGTAACTGTAATTTAAATTTTCATGTTTCTAATTTTAAAGAAGAAAGAGGTGCATTAAAAGCTCCCTCCCCAATTTCCTCCCATTTCCCCCCTTTAAAGTTAAAACTTTCAAAAATCCTTTCTTAGCGGATGCTTACGTTATACAATAAACCTATGTTCCAAATTTCAGCTTTCTAGACTCAGTAGTTTTGGCTGTACGTTGATAGGTCAGTCAGTCAGTCAGTCAGTCAGTCAGTCAGTCAGTCAGTCAGTCAGTGAGAACAAACAATTATTTGTCCTGACTGACTGCTCGTAATGCTCGTATTTTGTAGATGTCAGTAGTACAGTAGAATTTTATAAAAAAAACTATGGGAATGAAATCTTGATAATTTTCTTTCAATCTACCTTATTCTCAACGTTAATAGTTTTTTCAGATTTTTTATTTAAGTTGAAGGACAGCAATTTTTAAGCGGTTTATCAAGAAAGTGTTAAAGAAAAAGTAACGCAAATGAACGTATTATACATTTTCGAAATCATGGTTCAGAGCTTTCATTTGATACAGCACACGATGGCATCAGATTTTTTTTCCAACTTCCCATTTATCGCCTGCCTGATATTTCTTTTGTGTCAGTTAATTGAAACTATAACTGATACGAGGGAGGTAAACAAATATGAATTTAGCACAAGAGTAAAGAGCCCTTATTTTTAAAAACAGAAAAATGTTACTTGAAAATCTTGTTTAAAACAATTATTTGAAAATTACGGTTGGATTCTAAAAAAAAAAAATTCATATTTTTTCGAGTTATAGGTCATGTACTAACTTTTTTGAGAAATGAACAATAAAAAATGTACATTCACACTGTTATCTATACAGACAGGAAGGTAAACATTCCAATGCATTATTATAGCTAACTATTTTTCACGTTCCTAAGTTCTAATTAGTATATGCTTCTAATTATTTTCGATCATGTTATCTAGTAATTTGACATTTTTAAAACTTTTTCTGAATTAAAAACCCATGTACCTAACTAATATAAAATAAATATTACTACCGTTAGTGGCGATTTTACTTTTAAGCAATGACAATTGATAGTTCAAAAGTATTTCAAAATTTAAGTTAAGAGCTCTAAAAAAGTAGTTGAATTTCAAGATTTTAAATCTTCAAATATACTAAAAAGGTGTATCGCGAAGTAACCTTCGGACGTAATAAATATTCTAATTTGCTGAATAAAAAAACTTATTTAACTATTATAAAATAAAGATTATTTTTAGTGGTGATTTCTTAATGAAAGAAAGATGAACAATATTTCTAAAGTATTTAAAAATGTTTCTAAGCTAAGATATCTAAAGTGTAGTTCCCTTTTTATTGTAAGTGTTAGACATAATCACTTAAACTGTAATAAGGCTATAAGTTATGGCGAAAACATTGTGGGTTGTTCAGTTCCAGTTTTTGATTTGAAGTGGTTACCAGAAGTAGATTTAGAATCACATTTCAGAAAGTTGATTGGGTCTCAACACCCCATAACAAATACTATAAGGTAAAGTATTGAACCAAAAATATTGACTTGTAAATTCCAAATAATATACACCTTGATTCAAAGTGGTACTAATAAATTCAACAATAAATAAAAATACTCGTTAACTCTGTCAACAACTGTTTAATTCAAATATTTTCTTAAGTAGCTTTCGACCCTAGGGACATCTGATCATCAGGCTTAAATTAAACCATAAAAGTAGAAGAATCTACAAAGTGAAATATCTTCCCTACCAAAAATATTTAGTAAACTAAATCAAAGTTCCCGAATCTTGAAAATGATTTTTTATATCTGCTGTTTTTCTTTTGTTTTCAAGAGTGAAACGGTTTCTCGGCGTTTCTGTTTTTGAGTTTTTCTTCATATATATATATATATATATATATATATATATATATATATATATATATATATATATATATATATATATATATATATATTTGGACAAGATTTTTAAAATTCCTTTTAAACAGTTGGCAGAATTACAACTAATTTAACATTAATAAAAGCTGAATTTAATTAAGGATGTCAGACAATTTAAAATTATAAATTTGCAAATTATAAAAATAATGCCCGATCAGGAATAAATATTAAAAGGAGAAACAGAGTAACCACATAAAATTTTCTAAAGGCATATTAAAAACGGTTCTTGGTTTTAATCTCAATCAGATGGAATTGTCATAAGAATTTATTGATTGTCAGATTTGGAAATTTCTAAAAGGAATTGTCAGAGGGTTTTATTTTATATTTTTACTTTCCTATCTGTATGCAGATAAGGAAAGTATAGGAATCATAATTTTTTTCGACCTCGAGTTTTCGACGGATTTTTACGTTTTGAGGTCCAATGAATTCGTTTTGACTATTTTCGCGATGATGTCTGTGTGTCTGTATCCACGATAACTCATGAACGGATACAAAGAAAAACACCAAATTTTAAACTTAGGCTTTATTCCAACCTGCGGTGAACGATTACATTTTGGGCAGAGTCGGAACATCTGGAGGGGTACTTTATAGAAGGTCGTTTTTATATGTTATGGAATATATTAGTTATTTATGTATAGAGAAGAAAATTGTTCATATAAAATTTACTTCCTTTATTATTAGGTTTGTTCCCGAAGTGAGTTCCTAACATATTGAGTATGCGCAGTACAAAATAACTGTTCCAGCAGAGCAAAGTTCCAAACAAATTGAACTTGTTTGGTGCTTCCGCAAGAATAAAAACTTGTTCTTAAGATGTTTGTTATTAGTTCAAATAGTTCTTAAATAAAATACGAACTTTTACTTTCGTACATGCGTGCTTATTTAAAATCATTTTTCTTCTTTTTCCCCTTTGTTTTTGATTTGATTTTTGGTTAGTTTTGTCAGTGCTATTATATTTATTTTTGATTAAAATCTTATACAGCGTTGTAATAGCAAAAAATATATTAGGGAGGGTAGTTTTTTATTTGAGGAATTTTAAGTTGATCATAAAGTAACCTTAAAATCTACGTTTTTAAATAAATATAATCGAATGACCTGTATTTAGTTAGCCATATTTATTTTATTCGGAACTCATTTACAACATTATTCTACTCAAGCATGCGTATCAGATAATGTTAGTAACAAGTTTGGAACTCGCTTCGGGAACAAATTTATTATCTACAGTCTGTTCGCTATACTTACGCGGGTTTCGGATTAAAAATTTTATGAGCATTTCCAGGTAAGTAACCGAAAGTTTGACCTGTTCTTTGGGGAAATATCAACTGGTTAAATGAAATGAAAAATAATGTACAACTTTTTAACTAAATATGAATGGAGAATCTTTTGTATAATTGAGAGCAGAATTAAACTTCTTCAATAATGGAGTCTAATGTGGCTATTATAAACCTAATAATAATTTTATATTACACTTCACACAGAAAATATGGTCTATGTATAATAAGAGGGTTATTTAGCTCAAATAAAATATTTTCTAACATAAAAATTTGTTCCATGTAGAGAATTTCAAATAAAAAATAAAAAAAATGAACTTGCCAAAAAAAATGAAAATCAGTCATTATCATCCAAAATATCATAATCGTTATGATCATCACTGTCATCACAATTAATTGTTATTATGATTGGACTTATTTCGTTTATTTTATTTTCACGAGTCCACCAATCTTCTATTAGTTTCTCGCACTTGGATATACAGTTCCGCCACACTTCTGGAGTTGCAATTGAAAGTGCTTTTCGCCAAGTTTCCCGAACTGCGTCGTCACTGTAACCATTAGGCCCAATATGGTTGTCATAATATTGTTTTGCTATTTCCCATATATATTCGATGGGATTAAACTGGCAATGATACGGTGACAGACGTAAAACTTGATGACAGTAACTTTCAATAATCTGATCCACAACAAAGGTTTTTGGTTTTGCGTGTATATTTGCCAAGCGTAATAATTCTGATTTTAAAAAAAAGGTATGACATAAATTCATCCTCAGATAGATTACCAAAAATAAGTGGATTTGGCTATATATTTACCTATATCAAAAACTGGCTCCCAACAAAGTTACAGGGTGTTAAACTAACATTCAAAAAAACGTTTGACCCCTTTGAAAAAAGTTGGGGGGGTTGGGTACCTTTTAACCCCCCATATTTTTTTTGACATAAAGAAACTTGCTTTATTGATCCTAAAATCAAAAAGAATTATGAATTTTAAAAATATTTTTATAGAAAAATGAACTTTGTATCTTTCTTAGTTAACGAGCTATTTACAATTTTTTAACTAAATTTCTAGAGCACTTCGTCCATCCTGGACTTAACATATCAACAAAACTAAGAGTGGGTCAGAAGTAATTGTACAAAAAACGTATATTTAAATCAGTGGTGTGCCTAGAGCTGTGCTTGAACCGCCCCTGCAAAAACTACCTCTTTTTTTATTTTTTATTATTTTTTTTTATTTTTTATTTTTTATTTTTTATTTTTTTTTATTTTTTATTTTTTTTTTTTTTTTTATTTTTTATTATTTTTTTTTTATTTTTTATTTTTTATTATTTTTTTTTATTTTTTTTTTTTATTTATTTTTTTTATTTTTTTTTTTTTTTATTTTTTTTTATTTTTTTTTTTATTTTGGTGTCATCGGCGTCGACTACTACGGCCATTAGCCTCGTGTTCTGTGTAAGCTTTGTTACTGTTTCCCTGCGCCACTTTAGGAACAGCACTGTTAATTAGAACCCAACAGTGAATGGTCGAGTGGGGAATCCTACCAAGGCATCAGAATTAATTTCAAATAAATTAAATTTATATTTTTGTGAAAAAGGTATTTATAATATTGGATTGGCGTCATAAAAATGGTGTGCCATCCGTCCTCATGGGTTCACCGTGTCACTGATAAAAATGCACGTTAGTTGGGAAATTTGATAGTAAAAAAAATCACTCCTATATGAAATTATGTTTCACCCCCACCCTTACCGTACTTCTTTTACGTTTTTTCTATAGTCGCAGCTTTATTTTGCATTTTTGATATCAAATTGTTTGATATATCTAGATTGTTTTTATTTATTTTTTTTTACATCGAGTCCATTTGAAAAAAAATATATAATTTTAAAATTAGAAATATTTTGTTGCAGAGAAATAAGTTTAGACGAGTCGTTATCATGGAGCCTTATAACATTATTAGTATCAAAAGCAGCAGGATTAAGTGAAAATTCCTCAAAACTTGGAAATTATTTAAATCCAGGTATAAATTTTATTTAAATATACAAGATTGGTCTCGGTAGCTGGATGTTTTGAAAATGTTCATAATTATATAAAGTTTGCTGGGGACTTCCCGTTTATGCTTTTTCATCTGTCTCTAATCTAAAAAAATGTCTATGAAAGATTCCACGTAAAAGTGAAAATAAGACATCAGATAAACTGGTAAGTCTTCAGACGTGATAGAAACTAAATATTGTAAACTAATTGTAAAGAAAATGGATTTAGTTTTTATTAAATATAATCAAAAATCCAAAAAAATCACGCGTGTGTGCATCTCAACAAATTCAACCAACAAAGCATAAAATATCAGTAATAATAATTTCTTGTTTTTTATATAAATATAAAGGACGAGCAGTGGCGGCTCGTGGGGTGGTTCTCAGTGACAGAATATAGGTATCAGTACAGATGTATGAAAAAACTTTCAGTGTTTTAGAAAGTTTAGAATATACCTTTCTAAAACACTGACAGTTTTTACCTATATCTGTACCGGGATCTATATTCTGCTAGTGTGAACCCTCAAAATTTTGATCACGAGCCGCCCCTGAGGACGAGACAAGGATTACACCGTCGTAAATCACTTGAGCGAAAACTGTAAAATATTAAGAGGATCGTGTCTGATAGAAGCAAATTTTTGCTCATAACTCGAAAAGTATTTAACAATTTTTAACGATTTTGTTCTCGTTATATATGTGATTTAATACTCTAAAAAACTTTGTTTTTCTTATTATTAGCTGTATTGTTTCAAGTTTAATGGTCTACATTGATTTAAATAGTTTTTTAAGATACAGGGTTGTTCATTATTTTTTAATATCATTAAAATTATTTTCTCTTATTCGAGATTTTATTCTTCTATGCTTCTTTATGCCCTTATTTTGACTTTGCTATTTTGTGTATATAATTATTTATTTAGTAACTGCTAATTTACATTGGTAGTCAAATATATATAAAATAAAACATAGAAATAATATAACATCAAGTAATTTTTTTAAATAAAGTACATAATCTAAAAACAGAAATAATTTATAATAAATGTGGATAAAACCAGGGCTAAAATAACAATAAATTAAGGGAAATACTTAAAAAGGGCAGGTTTATTTATCAAGTATTGTTTAAGGTTACTTTTGAATACATTAATTGTTTTTTTTTTTATTTTTTGTAGGCAGTCTATTAAATTTTTGCAAACTTTTAATAAAAATTGTATTTTGGAAACTGGTGATGGCTTTTGTAAATAAATATCAGTCAAGTATTGAACATAATTCTGAACTGAAAGCCAATATCTTTTGACATAGTTCCAATACTCATCCTTCTGTCCTTGTTCAATATTATTTAAATAGAAGAAGTAGGGAGCCCAAATATTTTACATGAGCAGGCTTAAGAGGTAAAGGAGCCAACTATTATTGGATAAATTGCTCGAACAAGTTTGTAAACCCTAAACAAAAGGCGATATAGAATGGTTTTAAAAATCAAGGCTTGTGAAAATCATCATATGATTTACCCTAAGTAATGCCAATGCTTCACAAACCAAAAATTCAACGTCTTAATACTACTATCGGCATTCGGTCTTTCGTTCCAAGTTAAATCATTTCTCGTTTTTTTACGCTTAGAGTTTACCCTCATGGGCCTGCCTCGATAAGATGGGAGCCACCATTTTAGCGTCTCTCGAATTACCAAATAATATACAAATAATACACTGTAATACACGAATAGTACACAAATAGTACACAAATAGTACACAAATAGTACACAAATAGTACACAAATAGTACACAAAATACATAAATAGTACACATAGTACAGATTGCTTGTAAACTATAGTACACCAGTGCTTTACCACTTGAAGAAAATAAAAGAAACCACGTGCTCTGGTCGGACTGGAACTTGCCAGATATCTAGCATACCGTAATAGCAGAGCCTTTAACATTATCTAATGTTTTAGGAATATTCGAGAAACAAATGGTCTTAGCTACAATAACAGAAATGATACGCATTAGCCATATTTTCCACAAAAATATTATAAGCATTCGTAAAGACGATTACCAAAAGCATGTCTCATTTGGAAACAAACTGTCACTACTTATAGGAGACTACCTACAAAGCGAAAGTCGCATGCAACTAGCAAGTCTAAAATGCAACAAAGTCAATGAACTAGTAACATCAACGTTTCGAGATCTAGCTGAAGCTGAATTTATCGAACCACAAGATGGGTAAGAAACGATATTTATAATATTTCTAACAATTGGGTCTGTTAACTTTGTAGAATAATGTACGGTTAATTCATCGGGCGAACCTGGTACATGTGGATTCTGTAACAGCCTTGTGAGATACAATGTTTTATTCAATTTTATTTGACAACAAGAATGAGAACACAATTATTTACATATTAACACTACTTTTAAAATGTACCAGTTACTTGCTTGTAGGAAACTTAAACCTTTTGCTAGTAGTTATGTTTGTAAAACGAAGTCAAGATATTGAAGGTTGAAAAGAGTATTTTTTCAATATTAAATCGTCGTTTTTCCCGTCACAGAAAAAAATAATGTATTATATAAGGAAAAAATATTAGATTTTAGCTCTCGCCTTTTTGTCTCCCTCCGCTTCGATATAAAATGTAATACTTAATCTAATACTTTTTTCTCTTGTATAATAAATCACTATTTTTACTGAGAACGAAATATATGCCGACTCCCAGGCATTCTGTCATGTCGAAGGTTGAAAGTATAGTGTGTAGCGAAAACAAATTAGTTAAGTTGACCCCGAGGCATGTTAACTGTTCTAAGTTTAAAATTGGAGTGAAGTAACGAGAGCGACGATGTGTCGTGGCAGGTGATCGGGACAACTTGTCGGTTCTTGTGTGTGGAGGGCGTGTACAACTGATGAGCATTACATCAACACGTGAAATTCAATAGAATTTTTTTTTTAATTTTATTGAGTCTGAGAGAGAGAGAGAAATGCATCGATGCAAGAGATAGAGTATATGCTAGAATGCGGTTTGGATTCTTGGCGTACTGGCGTACGTGACCGTCGTTATGCATGTAGAAAATATATTTTGTTTGCTCTATATTAGAGTGAGATGACATTATTATTCGTAGGATAAGAAAATACATTTCTTGAATGTGTGGGTTTGGTCGCAATGGCTTGAACACAGAGGCGGTTTTGGAAAAGTAACGAGTCCTTTATATTTTACGAGCCGTTAAAATATTGACCGCCTTTAATAGTAGTTTGTGCAACAAGAGTGGATATGATGAATAATATTAGGCCAAACCTTAATTATTAAAAAATATAAACTAAATTGTAAATAGTTTGGACATAGAATACATTTTTTGATTAAACAATTTAACGGGCGGCTGAAAATTAATCTTTTAAAGGGGTTACTACAGAATAGACCCTAAGGAAAAAGTTACACTTTTTTATAATGAAATACTATTCACATTCACTACTTGGCTGCAGCTTTTACAACATCACAGGATATTAAAGATTTCTCGATAGAATCAGTGCTAGCTTTAGCTAGGAGCACTGGTTTATTTTAGCTCCAAGTAAAAACGTATATGCATGATTTTATGTTTATTTTAAAGACAAAACAGGCTGTTACCAGCTTTACCTCGGTCAACCAAAGAAAAAAATTCAATGCCTAATAATTTGGAGCAAGATATATTCGTAATAGAAGAAATACTAGGAAACGCTAAGTCAGAATGGATTATGCGCCATGTATTAGGTGGAGCGAGTTTATTAGCAAAAAGCTGTCAAGTGAGTAGAATTCTAAATTATATAAAATAAATCTCGTAAATATCATGTTATAAAATGTACCGTTATCAATCAACAGCGTATAAAAAATTAAACAAAAATTAAGTTTATTTTTGGTCCCTGAAATTTTTGTGATAATCTAAATTTAAATTATTATATTAGTGGCTTGTACTGTGATTTTTCTCCTTTTCCGCTTCTATTGCTGTTGCTTTATAATCAAATAACTTTTTTATTATTTTGGAAAATATCAATTTGACTTTTTCAAAATCATTTAATTATATCTTTTAATGCTATAGTTAACACATGGTCGCTGATATGTATGGGTTCGGTGTCGATTATCGTTTAAAGTAAGATAGCTAGCAAAAAATGTTAAATACAAAACTTTTAGGATTAAGTATACAGGATCAGTCAAAAAGTAATGACGAAACAAAGTCACTTTTTCTATATTATTTCACATATTTCCAACACATAAATAACCCCCAACTTTTATTCTGTATATATGTCTAAAACCAATCATTTGTCGGGAATTCTGAAATATGTATTGTCATTAATAATAATTAGAACTCAATTCCGTTATTTAAAATTGAAATTGATGTTTTCCTAGTGATAGACTAGGTACAACTGTTACAGTTACGAAGGTAGGTTATTTTGATCGCACTTTGTATATAAGGTTGGTCACGGAACCAGCAAATTTTTTAAACAAAAAAAAATATTTTAAAATAAAATTAATAATGCATTGATCAAATATTACTGGTTTCTAATAAATTCATTCAGCTGAAGCTTCCTAGATATTTTGCACGTACTTTTTTTATTTCATGGCCTTCACAACCAATTCGCCAAGACTTAATTTATTTTATTTTAGTTTTTTTTAAGTATGCTCTTGAACCCAAGAATTTAAGAATGACATTTTATTTCCTTTTTAAACCCGTTACGGTAAATGTTGCATGCCCCAAAATAGATTCTTATACTTTTGCATTGTGTCTAGAAAGAAATAATCTATAAATTGGAAGATTGTGTTCATTAGAACTACTGAATAATATTTTTGATTCAAATACCATAGCATACCATTTTCAAATTGCACATCCTTATCAAGATTTAATATTCTTCGAAACAACAGCTATTTATGAAACCAGTTGCGAAATGCCTTATTTTATGTAACGAGTGAATATTTGCACGGCCAGCAGAGCGAGGTCCCGCAACATGAACGAGTTAACGAGTTAAAAACGGCATTTCGTAACGTGTTACATACAATATTTTTTCTAATTTTGACTAGATTATTTATAAGATTATGTTTTGGTAAAAAACTAATGACATATAGGCAAGCAATATTTCTACTTTCTTGTATTGTTAGTTGCATATGATTAACTTCATTCTTTTACTGACAAATAGAAAATTGATATTATAATATTTAATTTCAAAAAGTGGGTTATTTTATCATGTATTTTGTTTTAATTATTTTGTGCTGATTTAGAATGAAATATAAGGACCAAAACAACATTGTTACTAGGTTGTAAGTTTAACCAAATTCTATTTTTATAAGTCAATATGCCTTTCTTTGATATAAACTTTCAATAATAATAAATATTATTGATTTTAAAACCAAAACAGGTTCATTTTTATTTTTCTTTTCAAACCCAGTTTCATTACTTTCAACATTATGCAACTGATTGCGTAAAGCAGATCATTTTGACACTTGCTGCGACTACAAAAAATGTCACTTTATATCTCAAAATTAGAAAAATGTATTTTTCTGTTCATTTCAGGCAGCTATGATGCTGGCAGACCGATCCGAGGAACTTGAACAATCAGCTTACACCATTGGAAGAAGTATAGCTCTATCGCAGCAGCTCCAAAAAGACATTTCTAGCTTCCAATTTACCGAATTCGGACCTTTTAGTTTAATAAGTGCCCCAATGATGTTCTATATTCAAGATAACGTAGACTTTTATAAAACTCTAATGAAACATGTCGAAAAGGACGATATTAACTACGACGAAATTAGAAATTTTGTTATAGCTGGAAATGCAATTGAAAAATCTTTGGAGTTAAAATATGAATTTGTGTCTAATGGATTGGAAGCCTTAACTCATTTCCCAGAAAATGAAGCAAAAACGGTTTTAATTAGTATCTTAAAGTCAATATAATATGAAAATAATATTTTATCTTTAATATTAATTTTATACACTCTATTACATATTTGAAAATTGTTCAAATTATCCTTACATTTTTGTTTAAAACATGTGCTGGAAGATTAGAAGGCCACTGAAGGTGAAAATTAAATAAATGGCTAGTGCCATACCTGCAGAATCTGGCCGGCCGCCTTACAACAACAAACAACTACTTCCAGTGCTATATGCTAGAGAGAACGTTGGATTACACTATTATAAAACGTGTTTGCGACCAACTTTATCGATACAACAAACCCTTTGATTTTGCATTTAAGTAGTCAACATTCCACGACCGGTTTCGTCCTATTTGGAGCTCATCAGGTGAGAAGTAGTCAGCTCGAGTAGAATCTCTAATCTATTCTGAAGATAATTTGACTACATAAAACTTTGTTACAAACTACATAAAGTACGAACAGATAACTAATTATCGCCGGACTTTGATTTGGGCATTCAAATAAAGATGGCGTAAGTGTTCGTATTTTATGTAGTTTATGACAAAGTTTCATGTATGGTTCGAATAATCAAATCATCTTCAAAGTAGATTAGATATTCTACTCGAGCTGATTACTTCTCACCAATATCACCTGATGAGGCCTAAATAGGGCAAAACCGGTCGTGAAATATTAGCTCCTTAAATGTCAAATTCAAAAGTTTGCTGTATCGATAAAGTCGGTCGCGAACACGTTTTATAAGACTGTAATCCAACGTACTGTTGAGCATATAGCCCTGGAAGTAGTTGTTTTATAAGGCGGCCGGACAGATTTTGGAGGCATGGCACTCGTCATTATTTCAATTTTTGATCTATGTACCTTCCATTTAAGATCGACCTCGGCGTCTATTTTATATATTGGTTAAATTATAGCCGATTTCAGCAAGTCAGATCGATTAACTCCAATTGTTCCGTTACTAACTTAACAGCATTCAATAACAATTATTTAATATAGGAATGGACTGAAGTTAGTCGTGCAGTGAATTCACTTGTCGAACACATCTTTTTTCAAGGTTATTTCCTAAGAAAGTGTCCATAGGCGTATCTGAAAATATGCATTCAGATTGGGAGATAATTATTTAAATAATAAATGAATAAAAGCGAAAAATATTTTCATACTATAAAAAACTATTTGTTTCCTTTGGACTCTAATACTATGAAAATAAACGTAATGACAGTAAGTTCAGCTTCTTTACCACTATTTATTATTATACTATATTTTTAAAGTTTTGTGCTGATATAACTGTATACAAATTGTTTATTGCACAAGGTTTTAAAAAAGTAGGTCATAAATTTGTCTCATATTATTATGTTGACACCTATAGGTCGAACAGATGTAACTTACTGATATACAGAAATACAGGAGTCCATATTAAAAAATATACACGTTAGAAATAGATTAATCCCAATAAATCGGTCGGAAACTGATTTATTATCATGAAAATGGGCAACGGGTCTTGTTATTTTGATAGCAACAGTTTCATGATAAAGTTGCGAAATATGTCAATCCCTTGAAAATTTTATGGGAGATGAGATGTGTGAATTAATCGACCGTATTTTGATACAAAAATATGTCATATTATAGTTTATGATTTTTTATATCACTTTGTATACACCAACTAATTTACTTTTTCAATAAAAAAAGTTTTATTTGGAACATAAAACTCTGTCTAGCAGTGGCGGCTCGTGGGGGGGGGGGGGGCGGTTCACAGTAACAGAATGTAGGTATCAGTACAGATGTATGAAAAAAACTTTCAGTGTTTTAAAAAATTTGTAATATACCTTTCTAAAACACTGACAGTTTTTTACCTATATCTGTACCAGGATCTATATTCTGCTACTGTGAACCACCAAAATTTTGGTCACGAGCCGCCCCTGCTGTCTAGTGTCCATTTGGTTTGTATTTTTTCTATATGTTATAGAATAATAAATGAAGTTTTGTTTTGTATAATATACAAAATCTTATATGCTTCTGCCTGGCAGATAAAAACTAAACTTTTGTGTTTAAATAGAACACCCTGTATTTAATTATAGTTTTAGAACGGCCTACTACTTCTTACAGCATTTATTTTATTTTTTAATAATGGTATGGACTGACCAAGTGACCAATATTTTTGTGTATAAACAGAGATTGATGAAGACCCTAATCATATATATCTCTTTATACAATTCTACCGATTTTAATTTATTTATTTAACGCAACGTTCTCAACTGAATTAAATGTTATTTATTGTTTAAAAAAAATCCCCGAAACGTAAGAACATCACTAGTTCCCCCCACCCCTCCGCGATTTTCCGCTTGAACCAAATAAACTGTATTAGATGCTACTTCTATGAAAATATACAGTACGTTAACCAACGAATCAAGCAAAATCAAGATGATAATCTATATTTGGTCGCAAGGGAATTAACGATAGTAACGCGGTTGGCGATTCATGATTGGATTCATGGTTACACCTCTACCGGTAGCGGGCTAGCATGTATTTTTATCTCTGTCTATTCAACAGCATCGTTTATCTATACCGAAATAATAGACAATAATTTAATGTGTGAAGAAAGCTGCCATATGTCATTGCGCCAAAGGGGTTTTTTCAGTGGTGGGTATATATTGAAATCAAACATATGGCGCCTCTGTCAGCATTCTTCATACAGTTACCAAAGTGAACTAAAACAGAGCTATTATTTCGGTATTCAACTTCTATTTGTTAACGATATCCCGGCATAAATATACAGGGTGTCCAGATATTTTAGACAAACGCACAGACCCGTCAATTTTAAATTATAGGGGAACATATTTCTATCATATCCTCAACTGTCATACATCATTCTTAAATAATATAATTAAAGTAGGGAAAAAAGTATGACATCATTGAAACGGTTAATTTTAGGTAGAATTCAGTGTTGCTTTTGAGTTTAGAGCCCACTAAGTGGAAAAATAAAAAAAAATGGTATCTTCGTATGTATGCTTCTGTATGACAATCACATTTACTTACATTTTTACTGAATTTAGCTGCGTTTTATCAAGGCATTTCTATTTTCTCAACTGCTAACAAAGTTTTACAAAGTAGTGGCAATTTATAGGTACGGTATGTAAGCAACACTTTCAAAAAGAAAATAAAAATACCGCATAGTTTCAGCGCTGCCACCACCGGTTTTTCAACAAATCCAAATTAATTCTAGACACTAATTGAATAAGTTTCTCGTATGAAAATTTTCGCAAAGTTTGTGCATTCCGGTGTAATTTGTGTTTAACCGAAAATTCCTGGGTAAACCTTAATTTTATTAAGCAGAACTTGATTGCCTAGTAAGCTAGTTTAAATTAATTTTTATCTCTAAAAAATAAACCCTCAATTTAGATCTTCCTTCAGGATCTAGATAGACATTTTTATCTTAGTCAGTTCAATAAATTAAAACCAGTGTTGCAGATCCACTCATTATTAATTTTTTTCAATAATTAATATTTGATGTAATTTATTCCAAAAACGTGTGAAGTTTATTATTAAATTATTATGAGATATTTTTTTAATAGGAAATAACAACGCTAGCAAAACACTATGCAGAAGAGTCATGAATAATTAAAACGTACAATTGAATTATGTAAAAACTCATTATCCCAGCAAGGGAACAATAGGAGATAACTGAGATAACGATATTACATGAAAGCATAATGGATGGCTACAAGGACTTTTCCAGAAATAAAAGGATATCGAATACATGGGAATGCAACAATACTGCAATCTAGATGAATGTTCGAAAGGTTTTCGAGAATCAAAATTGGGATGGTATGATCTTTATTGAAATAAGTGTCAAAATAAAAAGTAATCAATTGGCTTTGGAAAGAAAAACAAATAAAAGTAATTTTAAAAGGCCGACTCCAAAATCGTGCAGAAGCCTTTGCAAATTGAAAAGTTTACGGGACCACCACTGAGGTACCCCCTGAGAAGGTTTGTGGGTTAGAAGAGGTTTTTTAACTTCAAAATGCTTTTAATCAGATAAGAAAAATAACAAATAAAAAACTTATATCTAAAATTATTGTTCTCGTCAGGTGCTCGTAACAACGTCTCGAGCCTGACTACTCACTATAGATAAATTAATATGTAAAGATAAACCGTTTAAATGCACGGCACTGGTAACAAGTTTAGTTCCTCAGCATACTATTTGGAGCCACCATCGCAATAAGATGAAATCGATGTTGCCAGTATCAATAAACTTCCATGAGATTAGAGTTATTTCAAACATCTTACTTTTATTTTGTCAAGCTATCTATACAATGGCATAGTAGCTTTGTTCGGCTATTTAAATTTACGTGTTCGGGTTTCTCCAAATCTAGTCCTAGGACACTCTAGGATTGACCGTTTCGTGTGTAATTTAGTGCGCAACTAATTTTACGCAGTTCTGAATCGTTCTGAAACGTTATAAAATTGGTAAGCCGAACAAAGCTACTATTGCATACTATTGCTGGGATATTTAAAAGAGAGATTTGACAACTATGTTGACAATCTCGTAAAACACCATGCGTAAAAATGAAAAACAGAATGGCGGAAAACGAAGTGAGCGAATTACAATTAAATAAAAGCATAATAAATAGTATATTACATTACGAGTGTGGAAAGTGACATTTTTCACACGAGTGGGAAATATTGTCGCACGAGGCACAAGCCGAGTGCGACTATCACACGAGTGTGGAAAATCACTTTTCACACAAGTGATGTACAATATTTTTTCTACGACCATAAAATAATTTCATCAAAAAATGTAAAACCAAAGTTATTATTACTATAATAATTAAAATGTATTTAAAAATATAATCAACAATAATCGTATTTATTAAATGTTCATATTTTCTAAACAAAAAAATCTAAAAAAAAAAAATAAAAAAAAAAAACAAAAAAAAAATTCTCAAATGGCAAAGTTGATAAGTTCGACGTTCTAACCAACTGAGCTAATACACCTTGTGTCAATTGAGATTATTTTAAAATTATTATAAT